AGCGTGGGGAAGAAAGGGGGCACTCTCCTTGGACAAGGAGCCTTTACTAAAAGAAAATGAGAGGAGACGGGCCCAAAGCGGCAAAGACTAAAGGTTACCTCAAATAAAACCTTCTTACCTGATTCGTGACCTGAAAAGAAAGCAGAAAACAGAATGGAGTTAAGACCCAGTCAGATCCACAGGGTAAGACATTCTTGCATCCCTCTCCACCCCTGTCACTACCAGCCACCCCTTAAGAGGTGATGTGCTCCTGCGCGGCCCGGAGCCCTCTGCCCTGTCCCCTCCGCCACCCTCCCGCTCACCCCACCGCAGGCAGCCTCTCGGGCGGGCAGCCCCCCACAGCAGCGCCCCACCGCCCAGGCCGGGCACTCACGTCGGGGTTGGCCTCCAGCGGCAGCCAGCGATGAGGCTCCATGGCAGCGGCGGCGGATCCCGGTGCGAAGCTGGGCGAACCCTCTCAGCGCGGATCTGACAGCGCCTCACGGTGCCGCCGCGCCTCAGCCCTGACCCGGGGCCGCGTCACCGCGCCGCGCCTCACGGGGGGGGCGGGCGAAGGAGGGATCACCCGCCCGGCGCCCGTCCGCACCGCCGCGCCGCTCCGCACAGACGGCCGAGGCGGCCCCTCCGTCGGTGGTCGCGATCCGTTCCCGGACTGCTCCGGGCCGCGATGCACGGGAGATTCCCCCCTCCCCGCCCTCTTGGCTCCCCCGGCAATGGACTCTCCCAGCGGGGCAACGGGTGGTTCCTCTCCCGCGCCGCCGCCGGGGCCTGCGGGGCGCGCCGCAGCCGCCGGGGGGCGCGGCCGGGCGGTCTGGGGGCACGGCTGGGGCTGGAGCCGATCCCGGCGGGAGCCGCGGGGATGCGGGGAGCGCCTGCCAAGCGCTCCGGCAGCCCGGCCCCTCCGAAGCGGCCTCCAGCAGCTAAGCTGAACCGCGGCGGGGAGGCACGGGCAGCGTTCAGGGAAATACGCCCGCGGGGAACGGGGCAGGCCGCCGTGCGAGGCGGGACAAAGGGAGTCAGAGGAACTGCTGAGCAGCAGTGGCAGTAAATTACCCCCAAAATCACAGAATTTTCTGAGTTGGAAGCGACCCATAGGGATCATGGACTGCAGTTCCCCGTCCTGCACAGGACGTCCCCAAGAGTCACACCATGTGCCTAAGAGTATTCTCTAAAGGATTCTTGAACTCGGTCAGGCTGGTGCTGTGACCACATCCCTGGGGAGCCTGTTCCAGTGCCCAGCCACCCTCTGGGTGAAGAACATTTTTCTGTTATCTAAACAACTTCAGGGCACTCCCTCAGGTCCTGGCACTGATTGCCAGAGAGAAAAGATCGGTGCCTGCTCCCTGGCTTCATCTTGCCTGAAAAGACCTCAGTGTAGCAGTAAGGACTTGGGTGGTGCGGTCCCCATATATCCTGCTGAAAATTACTGCTAGATGTGTTAAACACGATTAAAAACATAATTTATTTTCTGTAGCTTCAAATCCCATCATACTTCCCATCTCTGGACCATTAAACATGCAATTTCTTGGCCTTTTGGCTAAGATGAATTGCAGTCTAATACATACATAGCATATACAGTGTGATTACGTTTTATATATGTACACATACCAGATTTAGGATTAAGATTAATATTAATTAGATTAGATTATTTAGATTTAGCATTATACCTTCTTTCAAGTTATTTCAGAAAGGCTACAAATAAAGGAACACATGGTATTGGTGAGGCTACACTTCTGGTACTGTGTCCATTCTGGAATCTGCAGTTCAGGAGGGACATTGAGGTGCTGGAGCAAGACCTGGAGAAGGGAAAAAAAGATGGTGAAGGGTCTGGAGAGTGCATCCTGTGAGGCACAATTGCGGGAGCCGGGGTTGTTTAACTTGGAAAAAAAAGGGAGACCTTATCACTCTCTACAACTATTTGGACAGAGATTGTAGCCAGGTTGGGGTCAGCCTCTTCTCCCAAGTAACCAGTGACAGATGGCATAGTTATAAACTGTGCCAGGGGAGGTTTAGTTTGGACATTAGGAGGAATTTCTTCACAGAAAGAGTAACTAGATATTGGAATGGACTGTCCATGGAGGTGGTGGACTCACCATCCTTGGAAGCATTTAAGGAGAGACTGGACGTGACACTGTATGCCATGGTGTAGTTGACATCGGATGTTCCATCATACGTTGGACCTGATGATCTCAGAGGTCTTTTCCAACCTAATTGATTCCATGATTTCTCAGCCCCAGCTGTCCCCAAATGCTGCTGCTCACCACTCTCTACAGGTGCAGATGACCTACACAGCCCCTTGCAGCATTTGCACAGGGCCTTTGGCTTTCAGAAGCATCTATTTGGACAAGGTTTTTCTAGAAGTCTGTGAGCAGGGCCTCCCAGAAAGACTAAGGACAATGGGAAACAGACGCTTGAGCGTGGATCTACATCTGGTGTGAGCAGAGACGGGGCAGGAAAGTTGGGAACTTTGCCAGCTTGCAGGTAAATCAGAGTGAGAGGAGGAAGGAGTGCAGGATGAGGAGCAGATGGTGTCTCCAGGCACTGTGGTAACCAGGAGTATCCAAGTGCCAGGACGCTAAAAAGGGCAGAGTGTTGGGGACACCAGCCAGATCAGGGACCAGGCACTGGAAGAACCCAACTAAGATGTGCTTTCTCCTGTGTGCCTGAAGAGCTTTTTGAAGAACTTTAGAGGGTTTTGATGTAAATTATATCACATTCTGTAAATGTTAAATGTAGTAAATGAAGTAAATTACCTAATGATGCTCTTATTTCAGTTATCACTTAGCAGGACTATGGTAATGCTGCATGCCTATGCCTGAAGCTTCTGCTTTGGCCTATCAACAATACTGTAGCATCTCTACTTGTAGCTCATGACATTTCTAATTTCTATACAACATCTACTCATATGAAGTTCTTGGTCCTTCTCTAGCTAAAAGATGGACCTGTAATATCAGATCACAATCTTAACATGCATCTGCATTCTCTGCTGTGAAAAATTTCATGGAAATCACTTCCAGAAGGCAGAATTTTCTAAAGATGCATATTTTAACTCTGTGGATAGGCAGACAAGGCAAAATCCATATTTCACTATTTTACCTTCTGTTCCAAATTTTTAAAAAATTAATCCATATTTATATGCCTATGAAAATAGATCCAAAATATTTTAAAATTTCACCAAATTATTTTGTAATTACCTAACCACCAAGATATTAAACTTCACCTCCCATCGCCACATGCTGGAGATAGAAAGTAAGAAAGAAGAGTACCATAATGAATATTAGTTATAGTTCTAAGGGCACTACTGAGAAACTTAATGAAATTATATATAAAATAATATGTTATATAATTATATATAGTATATATAGTTTATATATAGTTATATAAAATAATTCTCTAGATAACAAAGTATGTATGAGTTAGGTAAGTTAAGAACAAAGAGATTATTAAGTCCTCAGCATCAGAGACAGATCTCAGTGACGCACACATTGCACACCTTTCGACAACCATGAGGTCGTGAAACATAGACTACTCAAAATCATTTGCACGCTTAATTAGATACTTTAGAAGGGAGAGACCAAGATCAGACCGGTCATAAATGTGTAAAGCCCTGTTTTTACACACCATGCTCCATAATGATTAGTCTTTACCTGAAATATATTATAGATTCTGATACCTGCAAGATAGGCTGGAAATAAATCCTCATAAACCACTGTCTATACAGCAGGTATTTGTTTATTGCAGTGCTGGTGGTGAGGATTTCTCCACCTAAGTCTCCCACCCTTGTCAAGTGCTGTGGTACCTTTTTACAGTAAGAATTGTTTAGCATCACTATGTCACCACAATATCATCACATATGCACCAGAACTGATTGACATAATTTGATCTTATGGTTATTAGATAGTTCTTTTTTCACTGCGCTTGCATCTCCCCAATTCAGGGGTCATTTGGAGTCTTTGATGAAGGCTTCCAAGGTCGTCTTTGCAACTGAAGTTTTCAACTTCATCTTGGGAGCATGTGCAGTTACAGTGTTCCTGATCTGTCTGGTCTTAACGGGCCTAAAGTCTTTGTTTTGTGGCTAATTGGCTTTGCACTTGCTAATTTTTCATTAGTACTATACTTATCTGCCTTTAGAGCTATCCACCTGGTGAGTTTTTTTGGTGTTTTTTTTTTTTTTTGTCTATTCAGCATTAAGCAACTAGTTAACCATTTACTAGCCATTACATTGTATAAAAAGTTATGATTCAGGTTATGTAGGTATAAAAAGCATTCAGTACCAAGCTACCCTAAGTGGGGTGTGCACACAGAACAGGCATCAGCTCCCCTATGAAGACAGGCTGAGGAAACTGGAGCTATTCAGCCTGGAGAATAAAAGGTCGTGTGGAAACCTCATGGCAACCTTCCAGTGTCTGAAAGGGGACCACTATGTAGAGGTCAATATGTGGAGAGGCTGGAGAGGGACTCCTCGTCAGTAAATGTAATGACACGGAGAATGGCTGCATACAAACTGAAAGTGGGGAAATTTAGGTTAGGTATTAGGAAGAAATGTGAAGGTGTTGAGGCACTGGAATGCATTTCCCAGAGAGTTTGTGGATGTCCCATCCTTGAAGTGCTCGAGATCAGGTTGGATGGGACAACCTGGTGTACTGGGAGGTGTCCCTGCCCATGACAGGGGATTGGGGCTGGATGATCTCTAGGGCCGCTTCCAACCCCTTAACATTCCATGGTTCTATGATTTGCATACCTGCGCCTTTAACAACCAGCACCAAGAAAACCCTGTCAGCAAACCAATCTCAGCAAACAACTTGTTGCGCCTCCCAACCCCGCCGAGGCCTGTCCCGCATCCCGCTCCGTGAGGGCGGGAGCATCAGCAGCAGCGGGCCGGGAGCAGCGCGTGCTCCGCGCGCCGCAGCCAATCAGCGCGGCGCCGCTGCCGCCGCCTCGCTCTGGGGGCGCTCGGAGCCAATCAGCGCGGCGAGTGCTGTGTGGCGGAAGCCGGGGCTCGGCGGGCGCGCGGTGCTATGGCCGCCGGCTCCGCGGGCGCGCTCGCGCGGGCGCTGGGGGCGCTGGGTGAGGGCGGGGGGGAGCTGGGGTGAGGGAGTGCGGAGCTCGGGCAGCCGGGGGCTCTCTTTAGCTACCCGTAGATTAAAATTAGTTTCTTTAAATGAAGGCAGATGCATTCGTGTATGATGGCCTAGGCATTTTTCAGAGAAAGATTTAGGTTTATTACCGTAACACTTTATTTAGATATTTGCTTCTGATGGCTCTACTGTTTTTCAGATGGTGGTGGTGCAGCAGAAAAGATTAGTTTAATTCCTCAAGACTTTTTTGCAGAGCTGGTAAGTAGGGCTATAAATGGGGTGGGGAAGGGTTTCTGGCACTCCAGGAAGCCTTTTTATTTCAGCTCTTTTGGGTTTTGTGGAACGCAAAGGGGACATCAGGTGTACGGTAGCTTGACTTGACTTATAAAACAGATAAGTCCTGCTAAGAGCAATGGGTTTGATTTAAATTTATGTTTTTGTCACAGAAGACTTATAAAAATCTATTTTTTTCTATCATTTAAATGATATATCAAGGTAACTTGTCTAAAAAAACATTTGGCTTGCTTACTGTAGTATATGCTTGAACAGTTAATATGAAACTGATGTACTAATTAGTAATAATAAAGTAGAAACTAAAGTCTTGATTTGGCTCATTTTCTTTCCTTGGATTTGATGGAATTTTTAAATCAGTCATTTCAATTACTTCATTTGTTACTCTGCACTCTTCCCTCTTCTTGTCCATTTTTCTATCAACAATGTCTTCAAACATGTTTTTTTTTTTCACAGTGTGAACAAATAATTCAACATCTGAACCATAAGATCCCCGGTATAAATACAGCTGAATTGTGTCAGGTAAGTTGGCACTAAGTCCTCATAAGCAAGAGTAGTAGCTGTATCTACTGTTAAAGACAGAATTCCCAGCTCAATGTGGAGTTTCTTGTCTGTGTGTATATAAACAAAGATACTTTTACTACTGTGTAATTTATTATTTGTAATTGTTTGAACATTCTATTTCTAGAGAATTCAAACATCGGGGGTTGACATTAATATTGGTGACCTGGCAAAAATAGCTAACACTCTTTCATTTCTGTTTAGGTAAGCACAAAATAATTTACTCTGCACCATATCTTTTTTCCTTCCAACACAACTTAATGGTGGTATTGAAAAGTTATATCAAATGTGGGTATAAGCTGAACTGATTTGGGAAAAGGGCAAAAGTTTGTAAATCTCAGTACACAGAAAAGAACACCTGGGTTTAGTTTGCATTGTTAAAAAGTGTGGTTATTTAATATGTAGTATCACTTTTTGTAATTGAAAAAATAAAAAGAGGAAATTCTTCCAAGATGCTGTCTGCAAGCTCTAGAACTAGTGGCAAGAGAGAGGAAGTTAAACTTATTTTTAAAGCTAGCTCAGCTGGGCCTTTGCCTGGAAAAAATGTGTTTTAAGAACTTCTTGTTTCTTAGAAATCAGAAATCAGCATTGGTGCCATTTTGAAGGGTACAGAGCTTATAATATTGCATTCTGCCATGAGTTGAGTTTTTAGGAAGTATTTTTAGTTGATAAATTTTTCTATTTTTAGAAAGATAAAATTTTCAGGATCTTGTCGTTCTTTTAATATCTCATATCTAAACATTTTATTTAACATTAATACAATTCAGGAAAATATACTAGTAGAAATTTAAAATACTACTTTTCTACCTATGAAATAGAATATCTGCAGTTATATTTGGCTATGCTACTTAGAAGACCAACTCACTTTCTTTTGTATTAATGCCTCTCTAGGAGGAGTGAACATGCATGAACAAACATAGAGTAGGATTTTTTGTTTACTTGTTTCTGTAGAGGAAATCAAGTGGCAATTTTCCTTTAGACTTGCTGCCTCTTCATTTGAAGGGTTTATGGTATTTCTGCTAGTTCCCATTATACTGTGACCTAGAAGTCTTTACTTTTGGTGGTACTTCAATTCCACCTGATGAGTGTTTAATTAAATTTCATTGTTTCCAGAGTAATGATACTGTTGAACTGCTCTACAAACTCACCCCTCACTGACTTCTTCCAGTTGCTACAGCACTTGAAGGCTGTGATTATTTTTGATATTGGATGTTGTTGTGTGAGCCCAGCAAAGCTGGGTCTCTGCATATTAAGACATATTAAGGTCATGTTGTTTTTTGCACATGGATGCAAAAGATCAGTAACATTCTGGGAAAAAAGTAAATCGTGGGCTGCTGAATTGTTTAAAAGTACACATAAAGTAGAAATAAAAGCTGTCTCTTTGGGGTGAAATGAGGAACTGTATTAAATTGGTGGATAGTGAACTTGATGCAGTGATCTCTGGATGTATCTATTATAGCACAGCAGCCAGAAACAACCTCTCTACAGAAGAGCTGGTCACCACCTTGGGCAGTGGCCTCAGCACACTGCCAAAACATGCAGTTCAAGTTATTCGTCATGTGTGGAACGAGCAGGGCAAAGCCATTGCTGTGTCAGAAGATGCAGGAAACATGGCCACAGTGGGGCAGGTAACTAAAGGACAAAGTGCAGCTGAGCTAATGATGAACATTTCAGGAATGTCAGTGTCTCACTGTGTGTGTTGTATTGTGTTGTCAGGCAGGCAGTGGTAGATAGGCTGCTGAAAGCTTTCCTACCTGTGTGTGCATTTACATGTTGCGAAATAGCTACCCAGATAAAGCAGCATATACAATAAAGGTTGTATACATGCTGAACAGTTTTCTAATGTTACTGTTTGGATGATGAAGTTTGGATGATACCTTTTTTTAAAATTCAAGTTTTGTAGTGAAGATGAATGGGAAGACGAATGGCAGACAGTCCGGCAGGCTATTGTATTGGCTTATTATGTAAATCTGTTTTAAGTGTAAATTGTTCTTTAAAGGTGTTAACTTTAAAGTGCTTGACTTGACTGCTTATTCTTTGTCTCCATTACATTTCAACATTATTTTTAAAGACACTTTCTGTCAATCTCCAGCATTCCCTTTTTGCTTGAAAAAATAGCGATCTGCTTACATTTTTTTTTTCTGACAGCAGTTTAAAAGAGTATAGAATTATACTGAGGCTTGATATAAACTTCTAAAGGCCCTGCTTCACAAAGGGCTAAAAATTATATCTTACTTGTCTGAAGTGTATCTCTTATGTACTTTGATTTATCTAAAATGCAGTAAATTGTATGAAATCATGAAATGCCATGATTTTTCTCTGTTGCTATTATAAATTATTTGGTTTAGACTTATAAACTTTGGTTTTGATTTAGAAGTTCTAAACAAAAGAAAATGTGACAAAAAAATCCATGCATGATATACAAACTGGGTGAACTCTGTGGCTTAAGCTTCTCTTACTAGAATTTTAAGAAGAGTGTATTTGACTGTTGACTGTGCTTGAATAAGGAGAACAGATAAAGTGAAATTAATTAATAAATTACTTATTTATTCACCGTTAAAGGGAAGGGCAGATGATTTGCATTCACAATAATATTCGAATGCTTATGTTTGTTTTCCATTTGGATAAGATCTCTAGATGTCCTGCATTGTCTGTGCACTATCTCTCCAAGTGAATAGCAATGGTGGGGGTAGATCTCTCTCTTTGACAGTATTTCTAATGATTTTCACCTTTGTAGTTTGTAGATATGAAATGGAAACTGGGAGTGGCGATGAGCTCTGATACCTGCAGGTCTCTGAAGTACCCCTATGTCACAGTGACGCTGACAGTGGCAGACCCTTCAGGACAAATAACAGACAAGTCTTTTGAAATGACAATCCCACAGTTTAAGGTCTGTAGTGAGTGTTACTTGAATGTTCAGTCTTCTGTAAACAACAGTGCCATTGTTGTGAGGGTCAGCTGTATACCCTGATGCATATGTTTGTGCTGCTTGTTTACTCGTACAGTCATGCAAACATGAAGCATTAAATAGCTATTTAAAACACAGAAGCTGAATACTTATTTCATAGTATTTAGTTCTACATCACATAGCTGAAAAATGTTAATTTAACAGCAATTGATCATTTCTCTTTCAAATAAACTAGCAGCCAAAGACATAAAATCTTTCAGAGCTTGCCAGCTATCATTCTGCCATATTAAAGATGCATAGAATGTTTTTGATCTACAGAACTGTTCCCCAGCCTCAAAATCTAAAATGTGGCTTAAGCGTAATAATTGCCAATGATTAAGAATGGAGATCAGTCTGCTTTATCATCACTGACTCTTAATGGCTATGTCTCCATCCATGAATTTATGTAATTTTGCATAAACTTGGCCCTTGTACTGTCCTTCCTGTTTAAAGGGTCAATACCTCACCTAGCGTATCATACAAACTTAAATAGATCCTTGGAATTTGATTGGCAGAAATTTGAGAAGGATATTCTGAATCCTTTGCTCTGAAATGCATTTATTCTGGTGGAAGCCTATTTAATAATTTGTTGTTCAGCTACTTTAGGAAATGAATACTACACTTGAGAAGTCTGGATTATTTAATCTAGGAGTAGAAACATTTGTGTGAGAAAGTGTTTGTGGTTTTTTGGTGTTTTGGTGTTTTTTTGTTTTATGGCATTCTTTTTCTTTTGTCGCATCGTTTCCTATTAATAGGCAAGCCCATGCTATTAAGGCATCACCTTTGTACATTTCATAGTTAATGTGTTCAAATGCCAGACAGCCCATAAAAAGAAAAGCAGAAACTTTCAATTCAAGCTGTACATTGGTAGTGAGATACATGGACAGTGTTTTTTGTCTAACATGCTAGTTTGAACTGCAGTTTGAGCTTTTCTTAAAGCAACTGAAATTTGCCTTAATTCTTGCTTTTTAGAATTTCTTCAGACAGTTTAGGGAAATGGCATCTGTTCTTGAAACAGTTTGAAGGGAACTTTTATTTCCAGTGATGCATTGGAGGAAGATCAAGTAAACTTTCCGTTCTGCATAAAGTATCATTGTTCAGCAAGGTATGTATCCTTGTCGTCTTGACAGGAATTGGTCAGCATCACCCTTGCGTTGCTGTGAAGATTTCTTCACTTTTGATTACTTGAAGTCAACTCTGCAGCGTTTGTGAAAATGTGTCCGGCTTTGCTCATCCTGATAGACAAAAGATCAGGGTGTGTATGGAGAAGCCTCTCTGTAGACTTCCTAATACCCACGAGTAAGAAACTACACACTAAACTCTTTACTGCAGAAAGACAACTGAAAATGTTGACTGGGAAGATACTGAGAGAAGTGTAAATCCCACGCTGATATTTTTGTCTGTAAAATTAGGATGGGCTTGAACTCAACAGTAGTATTACATATAAAGAGAATATGAAGTTACATGTAACAAGCATACAGTGACTCTTGAAGAATGGCGTTGTCAGGTAGTTGATTGCAGCTATTTGCAGATCTGGCTTCCAGTCTTTTGATAACTGGAGAATGCACTTGTCCTAACAGCTTGTTTATTTCAAGTATTTATTTCCCACCACCTGGGCTTATAAAGACTGAATTAATGCATTAAGTTTTTCCAGAGACCCAAAATACTCTCAAATGAAGCCCAGAGACTAATTTTACATAAAGGCAGAAAGGCAAATTAATTTAAAGGTATTTTAATGGGTTTCTGCTTTTTCATTTCATCCATTGTTAATCTGTAGCATTCTGCTTGAAGTTTTGGTCAGCAGTCTTCTTTCTAATTAAATTAAAATATTGATGTAGTTACCTCACTTCAACCTCTGAACTAGAAAAGTCAAGAGGAAACTTGAAAATTCAGACTTGAGAGGTAGGCAAGCACATCAGAGAAAGGACCACACTAAAAGATTTCTTTGTGTGTTGCATTGTAACAGGAAGCCCCTGGCCTGTGTTCTGCATGCTTGCCCTAAGAAGGTGTCCTAGCCAACAAAATTTTGACCTTGATGTTGAAGAATGGGGGCATTTCTAAAGGGGAGTGATAAATCCAATATGCTTTTATGCTCTCTTAATTTTTTTTCCTTGAATTTTCTATGAAACAGAATATACTGCAAATATTGTGGAATGTAATAAACACAATACATCTCCAGATGTGCTGGTGGTGTAATAGAACAGGTAAATCTGAAGAGAGATAATTCACACTGATAAGCAGATTGAAGTTTCTGCTTCAACTTCAGGCTGGTAGAGACTGAGTACCAGCTTTGCTGGGGCAGATCCTCAAATGATTTCAGGCCCACTTAAAATGCTGACATCTACTCTACCTTTCTAACTCAAATCTGTTTTTTAATTTAACATTTTTAAGAGCTAGCTGAAAGTCATTGACACAGGTTATGCCTGCCTTTCTATGCTGTGAAAATAAACTGCAGCACATTGTGCATATGCAAACAATCCTTTCAGGAATGCCCCTATTTTAGGCATTATGCAAGATGCATAAAAACAGTACTTGGAATTGATTAGAAGTCCAAATGAGTGAGTGTTGGCTTTGACAAAAGTTTTTGGCCATGACCATGGATCTGGATGATTCCTTATGCTGGTTGAAGTCTGAGGTGTTTGCTTTGTGGCTGGGAAGAGCAGATTGGTCTCATCTGGGACCCTCCTGATGCAGTGTCACAAAATGTTTTTGGGAGCACACTTACCATTTGCCTCTTCCCTTGTCTGTCTGCAAGGGCTCAGGGCTGAACATAGAGCAAACAAATATGTATGGAAAAGTGGTTTCCATACATATGGAAATCAGCTGGGGAGCAGCTAATTTTTTTTGTTGTTGTTTTTTAATTTGCAGAAGTTGGAGTGTAAGGCTGCTATAACTGGAAAACATTGTCATGCTTTGGCCTAATGGAATAATTGTTTTACATAAATGGAAGAGTTACAGAAAAAAATAAGGTTGTCTTTTTTTTTTTTATAAAGCTGGAGCCTTATAAATTACTTCCTGTGTGTTCTGATGGACATAAATTCTTCATATAGTTGGAAATACTTGTGCCTTCATTGTAACTGCATGGAAAAGATTTAATTAATCATGTCTTAACAATCCAGTAGATGTTGGAAGGTAATGAGGAAACTCCCAGCTAGCATTTTTGCTTGCTCTGTCAGCAAGTGGAGAAAGTTGTCAGCCTTTGTAAAGACTTTTGTCAAGTCAGATATTCTAGAAGTATTGATGGATATTTTTTTAAATGTCCCTGAACTCCAGCATGTTGTAATTCTGCTGGAAGATGCTTGGACATGTATACTATACCAATTTACAGTCATGAGAATTTTCAGAGGAGTTACGATTTAAAGTTGGCTTTGTACTCAGACTTTTGAAATGTATTGAAATGCTTTGAAATGATCCTGATCGCTATCAGCAGGAATTCCTCTACTGAGTAATGGAAGAATTCAGTATTTTATTTAAAGGAAACCAAACAAAAAATGTAACAGTTCTAAGGATAGCAATACTAATATGTCCAAACAAGCTGGTGATTTGTTTGTCTATATGTGCAGAAACCAGATCTTTTTAAAGAGAAATGGGAGGCCTTGTGTGTTCCTAATTCTAATTGTTGATTAATAGAAATTGTATAACATGAATATTTTTCTAAGTCCACATACAGTCATTAAAAATGTAGGTAATAAAGACAAAGCTGATCTGTGTTTTGTTTTAAGCTTACTGCATGGAAGTCTGTCATGTAAATACTGCAGTGAGTAAAGTTCAGAACTAGACAATGACTAAATTTCTTTCCTTATTAAATTAGGATGAAGTTCAGACATACACAGTCTTTCTGTGTGATGGGGTACTATGGAGTTAATGGATAACTGCAGGCTGCAAGGACTCTTTGTATCAATTACTTGAAGCTAGACAGAATCTTGTATTGAAGCAGGAAAAGACAGAGGACATATGAGATTAATGAAATGTTGCAGGAAATTACATTCACGTGATATTCTTTCCTTAACTGTATTTAGGAGACAAGTAAACATTTTATTTTTTTCTACATTTGCCTAGAACAGAGCAGGAGGAAGTAAGGGGGGGTGGGGTCTTGCACAGTCAACAAATTCAGGGGACGGAATAATGAAGGAATGTCCTAGCTATGACTTGTCTTTGTCACATGACTTTTTTTTTTCCCATAAATTTCAAACACACCAGCCCACTTGCAGGAAGCTATTTTTTAGAAAGCTCCACAGAAGGAGTGCACAAATGGCTGAAGTAATCTGTGCACTAGTGTTTTATATATTTAGCTTCTGCACACTTTGGCCAAATAAAAGCAAGTCTCTGTTTCTGCTTCCATAAAATTGTACTGCCTTTCTTTAACCTTCCTTGTTCATTGTAAACCCACCCCCTTTATTTTTTACCTTCCCCCTTTTAAGCCTTTGCACTCTGTTTGAACACTTGAAGACACATTGCCTTGAATGAATTAAAAATAAAGGTAGAGAGGTGATAAATTGGGGGAAGAATGTTACTTTTTCCGGTTTGCCCTGTTTGAATGTTTTATTACCTTCTTGGCTGTAGGTATAATGAGAGTGTAATTTCCACTCCTTTGCAGAGGCATGCAGGGTGGTTCTGTTAAGACCTTGCAGGTACTGGAATAACACAAAAACATGTCTTGAGTCATTTGATCCTCCTGCAGAGAAAAAAAAAAAAATACTGTATCTGTGAAGAACCTCTACTAATGGCTGGGGACTGGGGGGTGGGAAAACACTTAAAAGTGAGAAGCCTCTTCCTGTCCAAGATTCTGTGGTTGATCATGGTAGGGCTCCTTTCCCAGACAGATTTTTAGTATGGTTACATACCCGTTGGTTGGGCTGATAACTTGCTGGGCATTTGCTTCATTAGGAAGCTGGATTGTTGCAGGTCAGCACCTGACCTGAGTGCCTTGACCTCAGCTTCCACGGTATGCTGTTGCAGTGCTTCCTTCCTGAGGCTCAGCCAGCTCATTACTGGATTTGCTTGTCATTGTGAGATTTTGGCCAAATACTTCCTTTACTTTTGCTTTTATTGTACAGAAGTGTCCATACTCGTACAGATCTGCTCATGGCTCTTTAGTGTATGAGGTGCTGTGGTTTAACCCCACCTGACAACCAAGCACCACACAGCTGCTTGCTCTGTCCCCCTTCTGAGGGACAACAGGGGGAATCTGAAGGGTAAAAGTGAGAAAATTCGTGGTTTGAGATAAAGACAGTTCAATAGGTGAAGCAGAAGCTGCACAGGCAAGCAAAGCAAACCAAGGAATTCATTCCCCTCTTGCCAAGGACAGGCAGTTCAGCCATCCCCAGGGAAGCAGGGCCTCGCTGCCTGATGGTTACTTGGGAAGACAAACACCATCACTCCAACTGTTCCTCCTTCCCTCCACTCCACACTTTATATACTGAGCATGATGTCATATGGTATTGGATATCCCTTGGGTCAGTTGGGATCAGCTGTCCCAACTGTCCCCTCCTAACTACTTGTGCACCCCCAGCACCCTCACTGGTGGGGTGGTGTGAGAAGCAGAAAAGGCCTTGGCTTTGCTCAGCAACAACAACAGAAATCTCTATTATTATTAACAATGTTTTCAGCACAAACCTAAAACAGCCCTCTATTAGCTTCTGTAAAGAAAAGGAATTAATCCCCAGCCAAAACCAGCCCACAAATCAGAAGGATGATGCTCAGCATTCCTTGTACCCAGTCCCAGGTGCTTGGAAAAACTTCCTGATTCTTGTTTCCAAGGCTTTTCTGAGAGAAGGTGAAAAAATTACCTGGCATTTAGTTGAGTTACTGGGCTATGTCTCTTAATTATGTATGACTTTGTGTCACTGAGGAAGTAAAGAAGCTGAGATTGCTGATCTTCTCCATGAAGGAAGGCTAATTTTAATATTCCTGTGTTTTCTCTTGCCTAAACTGCATTTACCTGCTATGGCTAATTACTAAGCTGTCCTACTTTGAGAACCCTTTCTGTTTGATATGTGTAAGTACTATAGTTTCCAAATATTCTGTCAGTGTTTACATTACAAATATTGTTACATTAATATAAATTGGAAGTGTCAATGTCAGTTTTGCACTTCACATAATGAGCTTTGGAAAACTATGGAAGATTTATTATTTCATACAATAAATCTCTGTGCTAGATAATAATTCCAGACGACTTGGTCCCAGCATCGGTCACCAGATGGCACTGCCACATACAGTGTTGCCTTACAGCAATCGTTTGACAGCATGTCTAGCTATGGAATAAGGATCTCTGGTTTCTTCCCCTCTGTAGCTTGAATCTGGAACTATGAATTCATGTCACCATAACTTCCATCCCACTTCTCACATTGTAGGGAAACAGACTAACTTCTCTTTTGATCAAGATGAGCACAAAGATTTCCAGTTACATAAACAACACTCAGCATTTTAATGATAACAGAATACATACCATACACCGCATATTTGCAGCAGTTTAAATCAGTAACTTAATTATACTAACTATACTAATTCTGCATTATGACTTGCTCTTCAAATAGCATCATATTGCATTTGGGGCCTGTTCTCATTTTACTCCTTTCCCTGTTTATACATCTCAAGGAGATTTTTCTAGATCTGTGTCTTGATCAAAGAAAAAGCATTTTCATTTCTCTATCCAAGGTTTTCATGCCATTTGACTACTCTAAAATTCTTCCATATTCTCTTGTAGTTATCGGTGTCTTTATGCCACATTTAGGAATATGCTTCTCTGCTGCTAAAAGTGGTCTGGGTGCTTAATTCCCCTGTGGATTTCTTCTGAGTCTGAAAAGTCTTATTCGGATGTCCTTTGTATTATTGAAGCTGAAAAGAATTTTTCTGTTCCCCATGAATGTCATTGCTTCTGAGTATTCAGAAGTTTACAGGTGTTTGTAAAACGGTATTCATCTGAGAGCTTGCCCAAATTAAAGCAAGACTGGCTTCCTTCCCAGTGATGCTTCTGAGCAGGGAAGTCCTGGATGCTGCAACCAGACATGAAGCTTGAGAATGGTACTGAAGTTTACATTTAAAATGAGGAATGTAAGTGCATGTCTGGCATGAATCACTGGTGTGCTGTGCCACGCTGCTGCTCGCAGTTGGGAATGTGGGGAGATGAGAGATACTCAGCAGTCAACAGAATCAAGACAACAGATGTCGATTTACCTAGGAGAGAGTCAAGGACGGTGAGAAAGAGGATTAAGGAGTTCCCATCTGTTCTTTTTTTTTAATGTTAGCAGCTACACTGGCACCATTCTTAGCATTGTATTGGGCCTACTAGTGCCCTGTTGTTCATGCTAAGCTGTACCATCTTTTACCACACATACAGTACAAAGTGGAAAAGCTGCAATAACACTTCAATAGTGGTACACTTTAAGTCATAATGGTATTTGCATCTTCCTTTTGAAGTGACATAATTTGTGCCCTTTGAAGTACTCTTGCCTTCCAAAGCATCCTTCTTTTGTGTTATTTCTGCACTCTACTCCAGATTTGCTAACCTTTCTAGCCTGGTTAATCCTTTGTAATAATGAATTTGTGAAATAATATCAATATGTTCCTTTTGGCTTTGGCAATGATAAGAAATTCTATCTTAGTTTCCACTGCTAGAGAATTGGAGTGGACCAGGATCCCTTCCAAATCACAAATGAGGGAGATGTAACAGGCACTGTTAGGGAGAGAAGTAGACTCTAGCAGTCGCAGTACTTCATCTCTTCTTCCTCATTTTTTTCTCTTATTTATATTGTTACTGTTACTGCAGTGGCTGGTGAATAGTAGCAAATCACAGAATGACAAGGTGGGAAGAGACCTTCAAGATCACTGAGTCCAACCCAGCCCTAACACCTCAACTGGACCATGGCACCGAGTAACACATCCAGTCTTTTTTTAAACACATCCAGGGATGGTGACTCCACCACCTCCCTGGATACACCATTCCTATACCTTATAACTCTGCCATAAAACACTTTTTCCTAATATCCAGTCTATATTTCCCTTGGCATAGCTTGAGACTGTCCTCTCCTTCTGTCAGTTGTTGTCTGGAGAAAAAGACTGACCTCCACCTGACTACACCCACCTTTCAGGAAGTTGTAGAGTGGGATAAGGTCACCTCTGAGCCTCCTTTTCTCCAGGCTAAACAGCCCCATCTCCCTCAGTTGTTCCTCACAGGGCTTGTGTTCCAAGTATGAAGTAAATGGCTCCTTTTTATAAAACAAATATTGGGGATATAGAAGTTCTTGTTGCAGAAGTTGCTCTATCTCCTGCAGTAACTGGCTTTGCAGCTGATCTGAGCTGCTGACAGTCACCAAACTCTGTATTACCTCATCAACAGGGATTCTAGTAAATTGATGTGTTGCAGTTTGGAGGGGCAGAGGCCCTATTTAAAAAAACACAAAACCAAAAACCCTAGCAAATTTCAAATGCTTTTACATGGAAAGGTGCTGTGATCACACAGGACTCCAGATTAAAACTTAAGTTTTAAATAAAATGTGTTGTTCTTCACTGGATTAAAAGTCTGCTGTGCTAGAAAGTTTCATGGGATGCCTGTGATATGAAAAAATGACTGAAGTAAGAATCTTTCCCCAGTCAAATTTCTCTTTGAAGAGAAATATAATAATTTAATGAATTGTCTCTCTTAATCAATGCTAAATTAAATTTAATAACAATACACTGAACACAGATATAAAGT